AGCCCGGAAGACCCACACCAGCCATTGTATTCCGGCCGTGAAAGCCTTCGACAATACATTAAGTAAACATTAGTTCTGTTTTTTCTTTACAAGAAAAACTGCAATCGTTATTTTTGGGGGGAACAAAGGGGTAGCACCAGTTATAATCCCATGCCCACAAAATATACTTAAAAAGTATTGCTAAACTTTATTAAAGGGTGAACAAGCCTCAGGGTTTGTTTTTTTAGCATGCTTATATAGAGGATTGCTGAGGGATGTATAAATGGAAAGGGCATTCAATAAAAATAAAACTATGTACTAAATTAAGTAAAACTCACAGTTCTTATTATGAAGTTGAATAATAGCATGCATATACATATTTATACTGAGAAACGTCTCCCACAAGCAAAGAAGCAAAAACTTCGAGAGGAAGAGCTCCACAGCAGAAGTACCACGACTCCCAGAAGAAAATGAATGCTGTCCAAGTGACAGTATTATAAACACCTCTGTAAATTTCTAAATATTAGAATATTATTTTAATATAAAGAATATGGAACTTTTCTTAAACGTAGAGGTGAAAATGTTGATATGGAGTAGTGATGATTTCCTCGTGGGTGTACAATCTCTTCTATTGTCTTAATGGCCTATGTCAGCATTGCTTTGTAGTTAATGAATCAATGTGCTTCATATGTTGCTCAACACTGGTTCAGCATTCCTGGAATTCATTTAGGCATTAATTCTTCAAGTGGGGAAGTAAAATGCTTAAAAGGGTTAATAAGGTCAGTAGAGTAGGCTTAGCTTATTCCATCAGTTGGCAGGCTAATTTGAAGTGACTATTACCAAGCAGATCTAAAATTACACCTGCTTTGGCTAATTAGAAATACAAGTGTATCTAACTATGCCTGACAGCAAGAAGAGCTTAAGGATTCCATTAGCTGCCCAGTCAACCTCAGCCACTTACGAGAGAGGGCTAAAAATACTACCCAGATTCAACTGCTATTGGCTGTCACTATGAAAAAGCAAGAGTAATTTTTTTTCCTCTGCAAAGGGATTCCTCAGCCTGCACTCTAGAATTAAGGTTCCCAAACTCTCTTGCTAGTCTACCCACCAGTAGAGAAAAATAAATTGTGGCTCCATAATGTGTAACATAAAACACAACCATGTCATCAGAGGCATCTACTTGTCCTTCTCTTAAGGAAGGAAAGGAAGAAATATTAATCTAAAACACACTATTATTAAAGGATGGCAGCCAGGGAAGCAAAATTAAAAACTTCTTGTACACTGATGGCATGTGCTTCATGGAGTCATCATCAAATCATTTATTGGAAAGTATGAGATTGATTTTCAGATTCCTGAACTGACACCCCTCCCCCCAAAAATCAGAAAAAGGCAAAGGAGAACAGAGGTCTCAGCTGTTCAAATTATTCCCTTTTTTTTCCTTAAGTGCTCTATTGCACAACATAATTTTGCTCTATTTGTGATACCCTATGAGTCCATCGGACACCCTTCCAAATTATATTACAGGTACACTTCCTATATCAGGAAGGCCCAGGACATATGGATACAATGGACTCCAAGCCACCTGGGCTGCAGGAATAGCACCGGGACAGCAAAAAACAACAGAAAAGAGGAAAGCATAAAAAAAGAAAAGAAAGAAAAATGGCAGACAGATGCCATTTCCTAACAGTAATAGAAAAATCCTGAGCCTGCAGTCAGCAACTGAATTAAGGAGCAAAGAATAATAATAATTTATTAAACCTGTATGCCACCCAACTCTTGACAAATCTGGGATGATCTAGAATCACTCCTGCATAGCTCCTATATTCTACAAAACATTTAACTGCTGATATTTATATATTTCATGGGTGCCTTATTTTGGTGGGGCACTATGGTGTTTTGGGACACATTTTGCAGCCTAGCCCCATTTCCTTTTAAATAGACAAAAAAGGAGATGTAAAGGGATACATATGTTTAATGCTTGACTTAAAGAACAGCTACAACGGAGTAAAATTTAAAGAAAAACTAATGAGTAAATTTTGAACAAGTTCAAAACCCAATTATACATTTTCTATTCTAGAACTAGTCTAGGCTGTACTATCCTTGTATGAGGTAGTCATGGTTAGTTATTCTGCAAGCCTGGGACAAAAAGAGAACAATAAATTATGAGCACCATTTGCCTAGGACAGAAGTGAGGAAATGTGGCCCTCTAAAGCACAATTCCCAGCAGCCCCAGTCAGCAGGGCTAATAGCGATGGATGCTGGCAGTTGTACGCATTTCAAGAACATCTGACAGGTCATAAGCTCTGTATCTTATGCCTAAACAACTGCCTTTAAAGGGAAATTTAATGGCTCCACGGTTCTGATTTATTTTGAGAATACACTTGTATTTCCAGAAGACGAGGAATCTCTTAGTATTTTTCAAATCCTTATATTTATCTTTCATGTACATTTGATGAAGTAGGAACAGCCATCACTTTTGTTAAGTTTAATAAAAGAGAGGGTTTGCAAAACTGTCCAATTCCAGTTCTTCAATAATGTCTTCACGGGCCTAAGTAAAAACAGGCTATAAGGCATCTTCTCATAGAACATTTTTTTCAGATCACAAAAGTGCTGGTAACATACAAAAACCTGCCCTACAGTACCTATATTTAGACCATGGGATTTTCCATCCTCTTGAATAACCATGCAAAGATATTCCTGAAGGAGAAATGATGGTAGTATCAGCATATTTAGCCAAAGAGCTCAGCACAGAAAGAGAACCACATTTTAGCCTATCACACACTGCACTTAAAATGATTTGAGATTTACTGTTTCACCTGAATCCAATACAGTACAATCGCTGTTTGGGATTCGGACAACATGGTAAGTCTACATTTTTAATAAAATACAGCATGCAATGGTGGCATACGTACCCATTAACTTTTTGCCTTAGCATACTTTGCAGGTTGGCTATAATGATAATGGAATTTAGGCAATCTTTCCTTTATGTATTTAACATACTGGATTTTGTAAACAGTAATGCACACACATAGTAACAGCTAAGATTGAATAATCACACATAAATTGCTATTTAGACCCACTCAAGTTATATTCTGTGAGGAGGGTAATCAAAATATACTAAAGTATGCACACACTTCAAAAGGGTTATGTAGTACTTTTCAAAGTATGAACTGTAAATGAAGTATATAAAATAATGAGGATCTTTAAAAATATGGCTATATTTAAATATACAAGCAACTTTTTAATGATGTTGGAATTTATGATGACACAGTAGTTCAATGTTATATCATACCTTGCGATTACGATGCTCTTGAAAACAAGGAGAAATAAGTTACACTGAAAACTATTATTCCAGATTGCACTTCCTCACATTCTATAACACAAGTCACCTACCCATAGATACATTGTCCTTTACTGACTCAATTAACCTAATTTTCTGAGTCTGCAGTTACACTGAGTCATAAACTAACCTCACAGGCTGAATTCACACAACACGTAAAATTAAAAATGAAGTTGGTTAATTTCAGTATATCACATGAATATAGCCCATATGGAACTCTAAAGAAAGTTTCCAAATTGTATTCAGCTATTATACCAGTCTTTGGGAGCGTGATCCAGCAAAACTAACCACCATCCCCATATTTATGCTGCTGTGTGAACTGGGAATACAAGGAATTTCTCTTAAGTATTTACTGCCTTCCCTTCAGTGATTTCCTCTACTATTTCTTTGTATTCTTAAACACCTGAATTGGCTCCAGTGTGCTTTGCTAAGAACTTCTGAAACAGGATGCACAAAGAATCATTTACCACAGCACAGTTTTATGCAGTTGGATTTACTGCAATCCAAATAGAAACATTTATTGTGCTCTTCTTTCTTGGATGCTCCCATCTATGCATGCAGCACAGAAGTTATGAAAGTTCCAGTGGAAGGAAACCGACTTTTGCAACATTTCTGAAGTTTATATAAGGCCACTGTATTTTCCTATAATGTTTTGATATAAAAACGAAGAACGTTAACTTCTTACACAAACGGAGATTCATTGTGCTACAGTATTAGGTACTCGGTTGCTTTTCAAACTTTGGAAGCTGCTTCCTTATCGACCGATCCTCAATGATTACTTTCCAACCTACTCCAAAGGAAGCTTCACCCACACAAGTCTTTGGAAGCTGCTTCCTTATCGACCGATCCTCAATGATTACTTTCCAACCTACTCCAAAGGAAGCTTCACCCACACAAGTCTTTGGAAGCTGCTTCCTTATCGACCGATCCTCAATGATTACTTTCCAACCTACTCCAAAGGAAGCTTCACCCACACAAGTGCTAGAAATCAACAACCCTCCAGTCCGGTACTTAAGCTCAGCTTTTATCTCACACGCTGAAGGGCGAAGCAGTATCAGCGTACTTCCCGGTACTCACAGATCGTATCCGCCTCATCCAGCCGCGAAGCACGAGCCCATCACCCAGCAAGATGGGCTACCGAGACCCCGCCCATCGCCGGTGCCGCCGCCTCCGCAGACCTACAAGCTCGACCCAAAAGAGAACCGCGCCACAGGACGGGAAGCGTCTTCATGGCCTCAACCAATCAGAGAACCAAATCCTCTTTTTGTATGCATTCTGGGAATAGCAGTTTACAATTCGGTGAAGCAGGTTTGGCAATACCATAGAAACAGGAAATGAGCCCTACTGAGTCCCTGTGAATCAAAGAAACAGAGCGTGATGCATTTTGGTAAATGTAGTTTTTTAGGGGGGTACTTTTGGCAGCAGTACTGTGTTGGGCTTGTATATCGGGCAATTAGTTCCGTTCCGAGTGCTTCTGAATGAGATTTACGTAGAGAAAATAATCCCCTTTGCTCCTTGCAAGCAAAGGAGATTATTTCCAAATGAAAAGGCATTGCTTTAAACTAAAGAGCAGCTGACAATGTGCAATGAAAATGAAGGCTTTCCAGACAAAATGGATCAATGTAGCAAGTTCTCAAAGGTTTAGCGCTAACACAGCAGTAACACAGGTTACCTTTGAGTGTTTTTAAATACAACGAGAAACTCCCTTGTATTAAGATCAACTCCCGGTCGCTTTATGAACACATCTGTATAATTATCTTAGCAACGAGCGGGAAGTGGTTTGCCATCGCCTTTCCTGTTTATTCAATTTCTCAGTGTATTTTACAGCTTTGGGATTTCCTGCTGATCATCCGTCCGTGTACTTGCTTGGCTTGACCCTGCTTAGTTTCCAAGCCCAGACTAGATAGCACGGAAATACACACAATTTGTATAAAACTAATTTGTCCAACATCATAGTGAACACAAAACACTGAAGTATGAATCACAGTCATGCAGAGATTTCCTACATACTGATAGATTACATGCAATTGTTTCCAACTTTATAGTGGTTTGGTCTAGTGGTTAAGGCTCCAGGCTAGAAAGCAGGAGACTCTGAGTTCTAGTCCTGCCTTAGGCATAAAAGCCAGCTGGGTGACTTTGGGCCAGTCACTCTCTCTCAGCCCAACTCACCTC